ATAGGATTTATCCGGCAAAATTTTGACATGACTTCATTTCTTCACTGAACGTAATAGTGACCAAAATGAATTTTTTTTGAAATACACGGCTGATGCGGGTAAACATTTAAACACAAAGTACAATATGACATTACATACTACTGTGTTCTGGATCGAAAAGTGGTCGATGTATTTATAATACTACTTAGTGGGTATCCTCAAAATTTTGTTTTAGTACGTTTAATGCAGACTTTTTTTTTGGACTGCAGATGGAAGTTTGCGAAAAGTTTATAATATCCACATGTTTCACAAAATTAATTGCAAATGCTAATTCGGTATCTGTTTTTGTAGTATCCAAATCATAAACGAATCCGATACCTTTTTTAATTCTGACACTTATGAATTTTGCAACTGCTGAAATTAAATAATAACTAAATTTTGTACGTATTATCGCAGGTTGTAGATCAAAAAACACATCACCCGTACCAAACTAAACAGCTGCAGATTAGTTTGTCTAACAAGTTCACATAAGTACATGCTAATGTTACTAAAGCATCTACTTATAAGTATTAGCATTTGGTTATTAATACCTATTATTAGTATGTACTTTTGGCATGTGCTGATGCTAAAAAGTAGATGCTTATACTTGTAAGTGCCTACTTACTAGTATATACTTATTTTTATTAATATTACCCATTTTGTGTTTTCGGTGCTGTGGAAATATACGTTCTATAAAACTCGAAAGATTATAAAATTTAATTTTGCGAATTTTATTTTTACTTCCTGAGCGTTAAGGTACGTGTCCACTTGCGAGAAATCGCCTCAAAATCAGCCCTGGAGAGCTCCGAGTCGAATCGAGTAAAGACGAAACACTGATCGGCTGATCTCGCCGCGAGCGACATTCTCTCAAGTGGACAAGCCAAACTGCGTTTACTTGCGAGAGATACTGTCCGTACGAAGAAGCTTCGAATTGGGGAAGTATTCCCCGAGAGTAAGCAGTTCATCATAAATTATTTCTCGAGTAAAGCCGACTTATTTTACACGTTTATGATTCTATGCAAATAGTCGTGAAAAGGACTACGCAATTCGGCCAAATCTGATCGTTTACCTGACTTCAACATTTATACAGCGTTTTGAGATAGGTAACACATTTTTATGAAATTATTAAATACTAAAAAAAAGTGTAAAACGAAAATAAATGACTAAATTATGTTCATTTGTTGTAAATCTGAAGCAAGTAATGTGAAAAGTAGACTAGATTAACTTTTTTAATTTATAATTAAACATCATAGTTTGTATAAGTGATTCTGAGTATTAGAGAGCGGAAAATATGCACCAAAATTTTGAGAAATATGATCATATGATATGCACCAAATTTATGCAAATATGCAGTAACTTTCTTAATATATGCAGAGATATGCAGATGCATATGCTCCAAAAATAAAAAAAAAGCGAACTAAATTTATAAAATACAAAAACAGGGTTCCCGAGCTTACGGTTTATTACAAAAAATACATAAATCACAGCGCAAAGTGTTTAATTACTCTCACTAACACATAAATCACGTTTTTAAAGATAATATTCTTATACTAAAAAATAAATCTAAATAGAACAAATTAAAAAATAGCAGTAATCCACTATTTAATTACTATTTTGGTAACAATTTATTTTTTTCGAAATATTCTAACAACAAGTTTTTCCGGTGATTCTAAAGTAAGTATAAGTATTTGCAAATAGAAAAACTGCGTACTACGTCCACAGATGTAAAAATACTTACCGGTTTAGGGCAGGCGCGACAAAACACAGTTCGTTCTTGAAAAATAAGTTCGGGAAAAGGTTTAATCCATAAATTAATTTGAGTTATCTTCGACATATTGATTCACCTGTATCCCTTTAAATGCTTTCAATACAAACTCACGATGAAAAATAATAGTATAACGTTCCTTCAACCACCACTTAACCAATGAACAAAAATTTTGGGAATGAACGGTATTTCCAAAAGTAATTAGAGCGCGAATTTACCTGGAAGGATGGCTTAACACCCAGTGGTGTTTCCAAACTACTATAAAACCCAAACCTTTTCTAGTTATTTGAAGCTCAGGACAATATTTGCAACATGATTCATAAAATTTCGTCTTTCTAGATAAATTGCGATAGAATGACGATAATTTTTTTTCAAATTAGTACAAAAATTGATAAAAATGCAAAATATGCACCCGTTTGGTGAAATATGCAGCAGAAGGCAAATGTATGCAAATATGCAATTTTTTTATAGCTGTATTCATTTTTAATTAGCATGATTCGTTCACATATTAAATATCAAGACTTATATGCAAAAAATAACGGATATGCAAATTTCATAAAATCCGCTCTCTACTGATTATACTTCATTATTATTATTATTTTGTTGTAGTACGAGATTAAACTATGCACAACGAAGTAAATTCATTTTTTATTATTCTAATAACGTTTTTAAATGAATTTTTAATCATAAATTACATATTAGGTACTACAAATGTATTGTTAGCATGAGTATTCAAAAATTAATATTTATATTTATTTTCGGTGTTTATCCACAAGTGCTTTTATAAATTGATACCTGCCTCACCTGAAAGTATAATTATTAGGGACAATAATTTTATAGATGTTTTTACACACTACAACATTTCATGTAATTGTCCATTGATGAATCATAACCTGCCGGGATGATAATCTTCAGGTGCCGGTCGTATTAAGCGCTCTTACCAACCTAACCCGGGAAACAAGTTACCTACACCCTTTTTGCTACCTGTTTTCCCAGCATTCACATTTCAGTTGAATTTTTTGAAAGAGGATTAACAAAAGGCTCATAAAATTATAAATTATTTGTCGGTCCAGTACAAATCGCTCGTTTCTTTCGCTAGTGTAGCCGAGCAGTGGACAGGGTAGCAAATTTGCTAGAATTTGGGCTCTAGTTAAAAACCAAAGCTGTGCCTCTCTGGAGGTACTTTCACAATACGAACACGTTTCGAATTCCTACAGTGCTGTCCGCGAGTGGTGAGTTTTGCCATGTCCAAATTTGGATGGTCAAAAGACCAAACTGCAGAACTAATTGCACGATATGGAAAAAAAGGACTATAGAAATCGCGTAGCATACACTAAAATTATTTTCAACTATACAGAGTGTTATGTTTCTGAGGCGTAATATTCAACGTACTTTTTTAAATAGAATGCCCAATTCTAATTTTCTAAAAAATTTTTGTAATGAAGCGGTTCACAAAAAAATCGCAATCGTATTAATTTTAAGATCTGTGTTATAATATTTTATGGGGAGGTAAACAAAAGTACGTGCTTTGCTGCGGTATCAATTAAATTAAATTCTAATATGCCGAGTGTTTATAAAAAAAACGAAAATATTACAATTTTCAAAAATCGTTATTTCCGTCAGCCGATTCTCTACTTTTACGTTTTCTCGACCTTTCATGTCCCCTAGAGTACGAAGAAATAAGTCTCCAGTTTCCGTTTGTCTGTCTGTCCGTCTGTCTGCCGTCCCGATTTTTATTAGACAGGTAATCTCCAAAAGTACTGGGCCGATTCCAGATTTTTGGAAAAGAAAACATAAAACAACATTTTACAATTTAATTTTGATTCTTACAGCTGTTTTAAAGTTATGATAAGCATAATAAATTTTTAATCAAAATATATTTGCTTATCCCCTCCAAAAAATTGATAACGTCAGTTCAAAATTTTGCTGAATAAATTCCACCCGAAATGTGCAAAATATATATGATCAGTCTAATACTTGTAATTTATTATTGTGTTCATATTTTTTAGATTTGCTTATACAGGGTGACTCAAAAAAAAATGAATGCGTGAATTTACTTTACTGAATAACACAAGAATTGCAAAACTGAATACTTTGAAATCTTCCAGACGTTTTAGGGTTATTGTAAGCATGGTAAATTGTTAATCAAAATATATATGTTTATTCCCAACAAAAACTTGATGACGTCATCTCAAAATTTTTCAGAATAAATTTTATCTAAAGTGTGCAAAATATGTTGAGTTTATAATTGTGATTTATCACTACATTCATATTCATATTCATCTACTGTTATTTTTAGTATTATACTGCACCAATCCAAGTTGATATACGTGACCTTGCAAAAATGTCGATGACGTGATCATAAAATTGTGTAAAGAAAAAACTCAATGTTAGATATGTTTCATTGTTCTTTCGGCGGGAGGGAAGTTCTGTCGAAACAACTTTCGACCAATTTTTTACATTTTTAAGAGATATGTGGAAAGAAGATTTTACATAATATTAAATAAGAGTAATAATGGCAATGTTGATTTAATCAAAATCAACTCTACATTAAAATTATATGACATTATAATAGAGGGTGGGATCATATGAATGTGACAACCTGTGACACAGAAAAGAAGGGTCCAAAAACCCCAAAATGTGCGTGACATAACTTATGGAGAACACCTTATTTTGTTCAATGATTTACATAATACTTTTACATATGTACCTGATACAAAAAAATCGTAATGTTACTATTACTCTTTCATGAATAGAAATAGCATCGTGCATTTGCGTATTTCTTAGCACAATTTTAGGTCCACATAATAATTTATGTCCTTTTACTACCTGTTTTCACAGTTGCAATATTTTACCGCATTTCTTGAAAAGTAAATTAACAAAAGGCTCGTAAAATCATAAATTCTTTGTCGGTTCGAGTAAAGAGGGTCCATTTTCCTCGCAAGTGCAACTGTGTAGTGGACAGGGTTTTGAGAGCTTTGTTCTCAAATCGACAAGCCCTTGAAAGTTACTCTCCAGTGGACACGTACCTTAATGGATAACAAATTTGTTAAAGTTGATTGATTCTTCACAAAGCCATGCTGCACTGATGATGTAGTATATTTTATGAAAGCATACAATCTGTTACATAATACAAACTCTAATTCTGTTATGACTCTATATATATATTGTAGCTCTATGAGCATGTTGACAGATAGGCATGGGGGTGTCACTCGAATACAAATTTAGGAAGCAAGCCTCAGCGCCCTCGGTGTCGAGCTGACCAAGTAATGAAAAACGCGCACTTTGAAAACGTTCAAATCATCCAGTGAGAGTGCGATGCCGTTAGCTGGCATCAGCTGATTTTGTGGCGTGCATACGTGCGATTAAAAAAAGCCGCTGCTATGAAAGTGTAAAATCGTGCAGCGAAAAAAGCCGGACTGAGGTAAGTACTTAGATCATATAATAAATAGACACCAATACTCAAACTGAAAGTTGTGACTAGACATGAAGCTATCTGTTGTGGTTTTCTACGTCAAGGGGAGTAGTATAATGCTATCCTTGTGTGATCACCACATCTTCATCTTTGTTATATGCATTTCATCTGTATATGTCTATTTCACTTCCATCCTTGTACCGCACCAGCGCAACAAATCGCTTTTGACAGATGTTTCTTCTAACCTCTCTTTCGAGTTGTACAAAAAACAATTTTAGAATTTAGAACAAAGATCCTATTTTAAGTGATGTAATCATAAAGGATCACAATTGCTGCCCAATAATTTACGATTCCTTTCGTTATCTACTGTGAATTATTTATAAAATCAAGCTGTCAACATTTCTCGTACGAAGTTAGTTCAGACATACTTCCTAAAATTTAGGCGCGCAAAATTCAAATAGTGATCAGGCAAGGATAGCTTCATTGTAATCCCTCCATGCACAAGAGAGACGTGTGAGAGGAGGATGTCGTCACAGGCGCTCCTAGGGAAAGAACACGGCGTGGTGGTATCTATTTATTATATGATCTAAGGGTAAGTATTTAGAATACAATAGGTATTAATAGTTCTATTTTAGGCATTTCTTACATCTCTCGAACATGGAGAAACCACGCCGTATTGCATATCGATGTAAATATCCAAACTGCGGAAATGTGTTCTACAAGGGTGGTGGTAATGACATTAGATTTTACCATTTTCCAAGAAATGTGGAAATGCAGGAACTTTGGAGACAAATTTGTAAAATTGATGCAAGTAAGTCCTTATACTTGTGTCAAAATCATTTTCACTCGACAGATTTTCATGATCCATTAAATCGAAACAGACTGTTGCCTAATGTGGTCCCAAAGGAATATGTCTCCAAAGAGTCCATGAGCAGTCAAGTGGTTGCAGCGGAAATTTACACTCAGTTGCTGTGGTATCCGTAGCTAGTTGCTCATTTTCTGCTGACACAGACTTTTCTACCGTAGAAGAAAGTAACGTTTGCTCCGAACAACTGAACGCACAAATCAGTGTACCTCTCGGCACCCACGCGTCTGTCTTACAAACAGAACTGATGGGAATAATACTGGGAGCTAGAATCATTGCTGAACGTGAAATCGGCAACAAATCAATACGCATACTTACTGACGGCAAGTCTGCACTACTAGCCCTGGACAGCTGTATGGTTCGATCCGGGCTGGTTTGGGAGTGCAGACAAACGCTAAAGTATGTAACGCAGAGGAATAGTGTGGAACTTTGTTGGATCAAAGGACACAGTGGCAACGAAGGAAACGAGAGGGCAGATGAGATCGCCCTCTCGTTTGCCGCGCGCATGCCCTTCTGGGGACCCGAACCGGCAATCACGCCTTCGGTCGCCCTCTCGAACGAACTCGTAAAGCAATATACCCAGAGACGCCATGAGCAGATATGAGTGAAGTTGAGCAGCTGTCGGCATAGTAGAGCTTGTATGGCGACACCAGACCGTAAGTTGACGAAATTTTATCTCTCACTTTCAAGGGACAAACTGCGTAAACTGGTAGGATTCCTTACGGGACATTACCAGTTTAACAAACATCTACATACGATAGGGGTGGTAACAGACCCAATCTGTCGTGGATGCAATGAAGGAGAGGAAACAGCTGAACACATTCTTCGTGAGTGTCCAGCCCTAACCTCCTACAGGGAATCCATACTAGGGGACATCTGGCCTAGTATGGCAAATATCAGGGAGTTTCCACCCTCTACATTACTCAAGTACATTCAAGCAGTTGGGTGGCTTGACGAGTAGAGGAGCGGGAAAACACCCTGATATGGACTTGGGGAAGGTACAATGGGCCCAAAGGCGAGGCCTAAGTGCCGGCTGGCTACGGTCAGCCCCCATAAATTAAGAATCCAGAATCCAGAACGTTTGTTTAGAGGAAATTTCTTCAGAGTTGTAGTTCGCTTCCTCGTGGTGCACCCTGGGTAACGCTAAATGAATTGGCACATATCGGTATTGACAAAAATATCTCGTCAAGTAAGTTGACTATTATTGTTTTCAAATTTCCAAAATTGTTTGTTTAGGTACGCAGTTGTTCATTTTCCTTACAACACAATCTGACAAGAGGGATGATAACCATAGAAGCTTCACTTTGTGAGTTACATATCTTTCTCTTATTATTATTGTATCTAATATTTGTATTTCTTGATTTGTTTATTTTATATGTATTTAGATGTATGACACTAAATAGGTTACATTACATTCTGTATACTTTTTGTAATTTCATATGAGAATTTACATTCAAATAACCCGCAAAAGTAGGTGGTTGCCTATACAGAAGTAGGTGGTTGCCTAAACAGAAGTAGGTGGTTGCCTATATAGAAGTAGGTGGTTGCCTATACAGAAGCACGTGATCCGCGTATTCAAATTTATGCGCGTATAGTATAGTTGGCCAGCTGCACACCGAGGGCGCAAATTTGTTTCCATCGTTAACAACGTAGGTTTCATTTCTTATATTCAAGTTCTGTGCAGATAGGTTAAGTAAATAAAGATGGACGGTTGTGTGCAGGCATTTTCAATACCTGATTAATAAACAGATCAGAGTTACTACACAACAAATTCTTTAGCGAAGTTACAGAAGAGGGTTATTAGGCGACAGTTTTCAATATTTGATGCATCCTTTTTTTACGAACTGGACAAATGACAGATCTTTTCCAGGCTGGTGGTATTTTTCCATTACTGAGAACTAAATTAAACAAATACACAGTACTTAATCACTTTGATTATTATGTCACACTTAATCAACAATTCAAACAAAGAATTTACGTGAGATTAAATTAAGCTACAATTTATCAACAATTTTAAACAAAGAATTTACGTGAGATTAAACTGTGGATTCATTCAAGGTACTGGACATTCCAAATCTAATTCGTGAAAAGTTTCCACTTACATAAAAAAACAAACATATGGGGAATATTTAAATATAAAATGCGGTCGAAAATCCCAAAATCAGGTGTTTTCGGTGCGTTTCCCTCGTTGCGAGAATATAATAACAAAAGTAGCGATGTCCAAATCGGCAGTTTCTGTATTTCTCCAAATAAATAAAATCTCCAAAATCCAGCTGGCAGCGTGATGATATCCAGATAAAAAAATGCGCAAAGTAAATTTCCCATTCCACAGTGCACGATATTATTAATTCTACTAATGTGGTTTGCACGTGTTTTTCGCTCGAAATTTCATATGCCCAAATTACGTTTGGATTTTCCTTATGTATCAACGAGGAATTTACGTTATGTAGATAAATGATAAAATCTAGAAAATAGTTATAAAGAAGCCGAAATAAATATGTCATAACGAAGCCGCATCCCCTAAAATCTCTATCACGGATTGAAGCTAAAATTAACGATTTAAACGAAAATAACGTTTACGACGTCACTGGAAACGCCGCCATCTTGTAAAAGTTCACACCGCGTGATCACGGCGCGTTCGTCGATGCTTCCGCACTCCAAAACGGCAAATTTTGATGGCTTCAGAAGAAAGATGATAATGGACGAGCTTGCTTCTCTTTTCTATTTAGGTAGCTTACTCACCTACTGTTCTGACAACTTAATCGCCACCAACATAAAGCAATAACACTCACTAATTTAATAATTTTCCAAGTCCCTCAAAACATCTATTTGGTTGCCTGCCTAAGTTTAGGAAAGTTTTCTTAATTTATTATTAATTTCAAATTATTCAAGCGCGATTTCGCTGAGTTATTTGTTATTTCTTTGCACAACATTTAAAGTCAAATCGGGATATTACAATATCAAACATGGTTTTTAAATCCCCCTTATTTTTTAGAAAAATATTTCTTCATCAACACGTAATGACATAAAAATCAGCAAGAAAGAAAAGAATGATGAGCAAAATAACAAGAACCCCCAGAAGTGACGGGGATCCGAAGATAAAAAATTTGTCAAAAGTTGTTTCGACAGAAATTCCGCAAAATCAAATTTTATAATTTTTCAGAGAAGCAGTATTTATTGGACTGTACTTCTGACGCGGGAGAAGTTCTGTCCAAATAACTTTCGACCCATTTTTTTGTCGTTGTTTCAAGTGGTGATGCGTTTCTAATCGCCTCTCGCTGCTTCCTGGGTTCGATGATGGATGCTGGTGTCACTGCTTCTCGAAGATCGAGTGTCGAAGGCGATATGATTGCGTCACTCACTCGCGAACTCACTTTTCGTTTTGTTTTTTTTTCGGATAAATCACGAATCCGGCTCGAAGGACCAATGTGGAAATTGTAGTGGTTATTAATTGTGGAGAGACATGTGCAATTTCAATACTAGGAGCATGTAAACTGAACATTACGTGATCTTGCACTATCAAACGAGTATTTTTGAACCGATTAACTAGTAATCTCCATGCCTCTTTATAATTTTCATCGTTAATAACTAAAGATTCAATGGTACGCAAGGCTTCGTCCACTTTTTGTAATCGCCACTAAATGATTTGAGATTTAAAATCGGTAGATCCAACTGCATGGTGTCATTAGATTCTCGTGGATTTTTACCGTCCGTAGGGTTAAGCAATAAAGAAATTGATGGAACCGGAACCGCGAGACTTTTTTCCATAATATCGTTTATATGACACACAACATCGCAATAATGAATTTCAAATTCCGCTCTGCAGCCTGCGACCCCCTTTTCAAGTTGCTCTATCTGGTACAGAGTTTCGTCATAATCGTTTCTAATTGCATCAAGTGATAATCGTGCTTTTAATTGATTGATACTGATCGCAGGACTATACGACTGTACATACTCCTCTACTCAATTTATCATCAATGGTTTTCAGTTAACTTTTTTGCTGATCTAATTTAGACATATTTCTGAATAATTAATGAACCTTGATCTAACCAATAAAAAATGCATAGATATACAAATACACGATGAAGCTAGCCGTACGAATATTGTAAAAAAGGAGAATCTTAGGAGAAAAGAACCACTAACCTTTCTCCTCTCAATGGTTTACACTCATCCACGATAAGAGTGTAGCTGAACATGTGCTGACTTCCTCTTGTCAAAGCCCTGGTTCTGAAGTTGAAGATTTTTGCAAGGGTTGGTGATTCCTCATCGGAGATGCTGCCCACTGCTGCCGCGAAAAGCGCTGAATGAAGACTTCTTCCACGGGGTGGCGTTTCTTCGTCGGAGATGCTACCCACTGCTGCCGCGGAAGTTGTTGAATGAAGACCTCTTCCACGGGGTGGTCTTTTATTATTATTATTATTATTATTATTATTATTAATAGTAACTTTCCCAACTGGACAATCCACTTAACAGGGAAAGGTGAAAAGAGATTAAATTTCATCCGATAAACAAAAACAAAACGCTCACAACCAGTGTTAAAAATGCAAGAAAACCATTTGCAAATTTGCAATTAATTACAAAGTTATATGTTCACAGTTGGTTGACTCCATACTTTTTGCAGAAACATTCACTTTGAAACTTCGTATTCCGCTATAATGCATGCAGAAACTTTAGGAAATTTATCAGTTATATCACAGTTCTGTGATATTTTATTGAACACCCTACACATTACAACAATTGGTGACCTTTGTAATAGATTACTTTTACAGGAGGGACAATAGAACATATCAGATTGACGAGCATTATACCTCGGTGTTAAAATGTTTATTTTCCTGAGCAACCACATGCTATCAATTTCATAATTAATTAAATTTAAGAGGAAACGCACACCTGAAATCAGTCTTCTCGTATTCAGGGAGATGATGTTAAATCTATTTAATAACTGTGATTGCGGGTGACCTCTTACCGGATATATTCTGTCTTCCCGAAATGCTAGGAATTTTAAAAACACTCTTTGAACAGACTCTATATTGTTAACATGGACATGATACACCGAGTGCCAAATAATTGAACCGTACTCCAACGTAGACCTGACAAGTCCAAAAAACAATAGTTTCAACGTTCGTATATCCTTAAATTCTTTGCTATTCCTAAA